GGGTGACAGTGAGAAACCAAAGTTCCTTCAGTCAGCACAGGCCTGCCGTGCCCATCGTTAGGTCCCTGGAAAGCAGCAAAATGTGTCACAGGGAAAACACTCTACTTGGGTGCTCAGACCAGCAGACTTACATGGAGCCGTGGCACGAGCCCGAGATGTTTAGGAGTCCCTTACACCCCAGTTCCCACCTGGCTTAGTATTCCCCTACCAGCCACACCCATGTGCATGTGTGACGGCAAATCTGGGAAAGGACTCGGCATCTCACATTTCATGACCCTTAAGCTCCTCAAGCCTCCATCAGTAGGAGCGAAGGCTGCGTTCACACACCGGTGAGAAAACCGAGGCGCGAAGTCATGCACGCAGTGATTAATTCGTTTTATGCACTAATGCGGGGCGAGGCGGCTTCAAGGCTCGATGGGAGGTCTTTTCACTTACAACTGTGCTATTATAATGAGTTCATTTCGATTAAATCTGTAAGGTAATGTCGGGGCTTGTAACTGCTACTCAGGCAGAAGCCACTAATTGCTGCAACTATTATAAAAAGGAAAAGGTTCTAGGGCTGAGTATGTCCCTTCTTTGGAGTGGGTGGACACATTATATAGTCTTGAGACCCCCAGAACTTCGATTGATGAAGAAAACCCAACAACCCAGGAAAGAACAATTTTACCTAATATTTTTATTCACTTAACAGAAACATTCACTTAGCAGATATCACTGAAGTGCAATTTACAGAACTTAGAGGCAAATTAACATATGTAAATTCATATTTTGAGGTTTTAGATTTTTTTACAAATATTACAAATGTACATCCATTGATACAGTATTGCCATTCAATCATGCTTTTTATGTACATACTTTCAATTAGAATTACTATGTATTAAGTTCATTTTGCTTACAAAATGCTGAAAACTAACAGGGCGTGCTGGGAGAGATTCTTTTAACGATGCATAAACTGCAGAGTGATAGAAAGCTAGGCCCTGTGTGAAAAGAGGCACTGGGACCCAGGTGATCTCATCTTCATGTTTAGGGGATACTCATCCCTTCCATCTCGTCTTTAGGATGATGAGCTGGGAAATAAGGTGTTTCTCTCACCAGGGTTTATCTGTCTATGGTTCCCTGCAGGGGTGACATTGTTTGGTGTGAATCTCTAGAGGCCAGCGCGGTGGCTCACGCCCATAATCCCAGCTCTCTGGGAAGCTCAGGCGGGTGGATCACCTGAGGCCAGGAGTTTGAGACCAGCCTGGGCAACATGGTGAGACCCTGTCTCTACCAAAAATACAAAAATAACCCGGTCTCAAAAAATTAAATACCTCTCGAGAGATGTGGCCACCAATGTTCCTTTTGGTGGAAGGTCAGACTGTGTGGACACACCCAGGAGAGTCCCAAAATGACTGCAGCGACGCCCTGTGCACAAGGCGCCAGGAACCCAGCAGGGCTCCCCCCGCCCCAAGCATGAACCTGCTGCCGGCTCCCCGGGGGGATGGTGCCTGAGACGACCTCCTCCCTGGGGGCCACAACAGCGTTCGGGACACAAGACAGCAAGAAAGGGAAGAGGCGGGGAGGAAAGAAGGAGGCGAGAAGGGAAGGAAAAGAGGGTGCTGCGGGCAGAGTGAAGAGGGTGGTGCTGGCCGCCTCTTTCCGCGGGTGGCATGAGAAGGAAGCTTGCTGTGTCCTCACCCCATCTCTGGTCCCTGCCCCTGTCACCTCTGCTCCTGCCGCCTTACCTCCCCACCATCCTTCCTTCACTTTACCAGATTCAGAATTTGTGGGAGAAGTTTGACAGGTGCCTCCAGCAGCCAGTGTTTCCAGAAACAGCCCTGCACCTGCGGTGGTGAGGGACCCGGGTGGCGGTGACGGACCCAGGTGGTGGCAAGGCCCACACCGTGTCCTCCGGCCACCCGCCTAGCTCCACACGGTGGCGAGTCTGCCCGAGGTCCTAAAACACCAGCGAGGTGGGGTGGGGGGCAGTCTGTCCCTGCCAAGAGCTGCCTGGGAGTGCTACGGCCTCTCCTGCAACACAGAGCTTCTAAATTTCCACCTCGAATCGTGAGCTCTGCAAAAACCCCAGGTGAGGACAGGCTTTGGCGTGTGTGGGCTGGCGGCTCCCTGATGGGGATTAGGGACTCTGCAGGCTCCCTGAGGGCCGCGGGAAGGTCATGACGAGGGGCGGCCCAGTGATCCAACAGCAGTACATAAAAAGGAAGGCTCCCACTTCCTTCTGGTCTCCATCAGAAAGTGAGACTTACTGTATTTTGGGCCAATTTGTCAGATTATTTTATTAGAATGGCTTCTTAAAATGGGCATAGATATTTCCCTAAGTTAAAAATGTCTACTTTATGTACGCCTCAAATGTCTTTGTTTTAAAGATACTATAGACACCTCTTAAAATTTATCATCTAAAAATAGGATTTCATCAAAATACTCTTAACTATTCTGGGCATTGCTATCCTATGTATTTACGGTTTATGGCTCTCCAGACGTGGTCAGCACTGTACCAAATAAAAGCATGTAACTTTATGGATAAGAAAAGCTTCCTGTGAAAAATTAGGTGGAAAAGTGGAGCTGTTTGTTTGAAAAGGAACCCCACTTGACATTTCTGAGGAACAGGACTCATGACAAAGTCAGCACGATGTGATAGATATGTATAGTGGTAAAGAGAATCGCAGGAACGGAAGGGAAACCATAGCTGTCGACCCGCAGATCCTTTCCTTGGCAAAGATAAAACCCACAGAAACCCCGACTCTGTCCCCTGACATCACACATGGCTGCAGAACCCGGGCTGGAGGTGGCCGGCGGAGGCTGCCTGGCCGTGTGACCGTTCCCTTCTCTCTGTCCTGCAAAAAGTCTGGAAACCACCAGACACTGACCTGCTGACTACAAACCAGGCAGGAAACCACATTGCTGATCTTCCCGATGGGAAAGCAGTGTGTATTTTGGAGGCAGATAAAGGTGGTGTTGGTTTTGTGAAGACTTTCGTAGGGGCCTAAGCAGGCGTGAACACAGACTGCAGACAATCTGCAGCGAGAGGCAGGGAAGCTGGGGCAAAGATTTCAAGATGGGCTCTGAGGCGCGGGCCCTGACTTCTTCATCCTCCCTTGTGCTGTGCCCAGCGTGTTTTCAAGGTGGCAGAAAGTGGCCCGTCCCCTACTCATGTCTTGCCCCTCACTTGGGGAGGGGCACATGGCCACTCCCAAGACTAAGTCAGCGGTGGAAGCGCAGGGCAGGCCTGGCCTGAAAGTGAAAGTGGGATGTTCTGACTGGCCCAAGGGCGAAATCTTCAGGCTTCACCAGCAGCCTTCTATCTCTGCAGAGGTGACCGGCTTTTCCGGCAACACCTGGGCTGTGGGACTCCTGGGACCTGGCCCCTCCTGGCTGGATCAGCCCCTGCCAGTTGGGAGCAGCCTGCGTGTGGCGTGATCTGGCGCGGTGTGCAGTTCGAATTTGGCCCTCTATGTGCTTCGTGGAAGGGAAGCGCCTTGTCTTCCACCCTCCCTGCTTGACGCCTCTGTTTCCCGCCGGCTGCTGGCCTCCCTGTGTGTGAGTCACCCCTGCCTGCCTCAGCTGCCTTCTCCTTTCACTGCCCAGGGCCTGGGACCCCCCTCTCCTTTCATGGGGTCCCTTCTGCAGCCCACGTGCCCTCTGCCAGACGCCTCCGGGGAAAAAGCTCCAGCACCTCAAACTCAATTCTGGCTCACCCTTCTCTATCAACCTTCTTGGAAGAGCTTTAATCTCTCCCTCCACGGAGTCTCCTCTGGATTTGATAAACAAATCCATACACTTGTTCTAATGGGGTAGTGTGGAATGAATGTGTGGCTTTCTTCAGAAGTGGATGTAGATATTTCAGTCAAGTCTGAGTTGTTTCTGGAAGGTCAGTGCCTGAGACAATATGAATCCCAACCCTGCCGCTGCCGGCCACTGGGTGGGCGAGTGTTTTCCGAGTCTGGCGAATCGGACCCTGCGTCTTGGCTGCTTACAAGGCAGGTCGCTCACTGCAGACCCAGTGTGATTTGGAGCCCCCTGGGAGAAAGCATCGTGAGCTTCTCTAGCCAACATCTCAGAGCGAAGCCGGGAGCTGGCTGTGCCCCACAAGTTCGGGGAGTGCCTGCGTCTGCGGCTGTGAACGCCTGAGCCACCCATCGCCTCTCCACGCTCTCAGTTCTCCAGGCTTCGTCCTAGTGATGTCAAGCTACCAGAAATTCATCGAAACTGGCCATTTGAGCTTAGCTTTTGCACTGAATTAAGATTTCATTTTTTTTTTTGCGATTTTTGTAAAAGTAATATGAGTCCTTTATTTGCAAAAATGTTCTCATATCTTTTGAAACTTTCTCTGGGAGCAGTTGTCTACTCCAGTGCCCATTCTTTTCTAAAAGAACTTGTGAGACAAATTTGGCCATATTTTAAATCTCAGGAAAAGTTTCTATTTCCATACTAATATCTCTAATTCTTACTATCTTGTAACAAATAGCTACAACTCAGTTTGTTCCATTTCTACCTTCTCACCATGATAACTGTAATTGACAGTACTTGGGTATGTACAGCACAATGTTATTCCTGCACTTCCTGGGGGTGGTCAGCCGGGATTCTTTCTGGGAAGGCCACACCCCAGAGGCGGACACTTCACCACAATGAACTTCAGAGATGTATTTTTTTTTTTTTAATTGGAGAAATGATAGACTGGCTACATAGCAGGATGAATGTTAGAAGAGAGTTCTCGGTGGTGAGATTACAGCAACTGAGGCACGCAGATTGCCTAAAGATACTTGGAAAAGGGCCAGACTCCTGTGTGAAGACAGCGCCTCAACTCTCAGTGATGACGCTGTGGGCTAAAGCCCCAGTGTCCCATCTCAACTGTGAGCTGAAGGTTCTCTGGGGTTGGATGCCTGCTCTCAGGGTGACAGACCCTGCCTCTTACATTTTTTGACAGCTGAACTTTTTGGGGATCTTGTCCTGCAAGGTGCCGATTGGAGAATCTGCAAGAGCAGAGCTGTAGCCTCTCAAGCTGAAGGTAAAGGTTGTTTTGAATTTTATTTTGTGCTTGCTTTCTAATAAAAATTTAGTTAAGTCTGCTTATTACCTGGTAGGGAGGTTACAGGGTGGTAGCTAACCCTCTCACAGCTGAGCCTCAGTGGTGCTCCGTGTCTGCCAAAATAAACCACATGCTCTGACGGGCTCAACAGGCATGGGCGGCTCTGCAGGGCGCAGTGGGCAGGTGCTTAGAGGGCTCCCCACATCACAGGTCTTCACGAGGGCTTGTGAGCGCTTTGGGAACCGTTCCTTCGCTGTGCAGGAACGGCTTTCATTTCTCGGGTTCTATTCTAGGTGTTCTTTAATGATATGCATCTTAAATCTTTTTTGAAAGGAGGTGGAGTAAAAAAAACGAAATGAATAATGAAAATAATTGAGGATTCTTATTGGTTTCTCTGGGGCTGGATGGGCATGGCTTTTCTCTCTGTTTGTGGCTTATCTTCATGTGCCCCATAAACCTGTGCTAGTGAGACCTGAACGTGGCTGAGAGGTGCACACAGGGGTGGGGTGCAGGGACAGGCCGAGGCTCCCTCCTGCCTGACACACGCTGGCGCCTCCTTCCAAGGCTGCAGCTGAGCCCCCTTCGCCTGAATGGAGCCCCTCCCTCGGATGCCACAGGAGCCTCGGCGCCAACTCCACAGCGTGTGTCCCTGGGTGTGGGGACAGGGTCTGGGGCCAGCTATCTGGGAAGAGGTGTGTTCTGAATTCCAGTCTCATTGCTCCTCCACACATTGCACACTCGTATGTTTCTGGAACACCAAAGAAAAACGAATGCAGGGAACCGGCCGACCTGCCACGTCGCCCCACAGACACGGCCTGTCCCTCCAGCATCTGGGTCAGCTCCAGTGGCCAGGAGCCCACAGCCTAGAGAGTCAGTAGAAACTGCTGCTGCTCCGGAGGCTTCTGCACCCAGGTGCCCAGGCCAGCCTTCTGAAAGGCCCGGAACAGCTGCTGTTTCACCGCCTGGTAGGTGTGCGCCCCCAGCTTGGCCTCACAGTACATGGATGGCGTGTCTCTGGGGCTGGGTGTCCGTGTGCTCAGCTGCAGGCAAGGAGAAGAGCCAGTCAGACACCAGCAGGGAAGGAGCCTCCGCCAGGCGGAGGATTCTTATTGGTTTCTCTGGGGCTGGATGGGCATGGCTTTTCTCTCTGTTTGTGGCTTATCTTCATGTGCCCCATAAACCTGTGCTAGTGAGACCTGAACGTGGCTGAGAGGTGCACACAGGGGTGGGGTGCAGGGACAGGCCGAGGCTCCCTCCTGCCTGACACACGCTGGCGCCTCCTTCCAAGGCTGCAGCTGAGCCCCCTTTGCCTGAATGGAGCCCCTCCCTCCTGATGTTTTGCGAGCCAGACATCAGCTCATGGCCTCGGCCTTTTGCTTTTCTTTCTTCCAACATGAGAGAGGGCAACCGTACCAGGCCCTCCGGCCATCCCACAGAAACCCAGTCATCAGGGAAACCCACTTCATCCAAGGTGTAAGTGACCAGTGAGCAGATAAGCCTGACTGCTGTTAAAAATACAAACACTGTACAGGGGCCGCAAGTGGGGTGGGGGCAGATGGGGACGTGGGAGCTGTGTCACAGCGGGCAGGGAGCAGGAGGGCCATGTGGCCGGGACACTTCCTCTTTAGGTATCTGAGGGGCGCCAGGCAAAGCTTTGCAGCAACACAAGACAGGGAATAAAGGCAGTTTGGATCCCCCCACCGCAGGTGGGAGGCCAGAGAGAGGAGGATGGAGTGGGGGGAGCTCAGAATCCCACCTCGGGTCTTCCTGGGAGGCACTTGCCGGGGGCGGGGGGTGTCACCCCCAGCACGTGCAAAAAGAGAGGGCCCTGTTGCTCATCAAGACAGCACTGATGCCTCCCTGACCTTCCAAGTCTCCAGGAGAGGGGGACTCGGGAAGTGCCCTCGAGTGGGTGGGACAGAGGCTGAAAGCTGAGGAAGATGGAAGTCTTGGCCGAGCTCAGAGCTAATATGTGCAATTTTTCGTGTCCCTTAAGTTGGCAAAATGTTTATTTTAGGTGTCAGTATGTCTGTCCTGCTCTACCAGTTGACACGTCAACAACACGATTATTCCTGCTTGGAGTCATTGCTTGGATTAAAAGTATAGGAAAATGAGCAAGACATTTTTTATTTGTTGGCTTTTTTTTTCTGTTATTTGTTCTTTTTGGCTACAGTCTCTATGCTTTGGAAACACATACAAATATGTATTTTGATTTGAAATCCAGAAATGTCACTGTTATCCCTACTTGTGAAGGAGAAAGTTTGCTCCTGATCCTTGATGTTGTGGAAATGCATGGGCTTTGTGGTTGGGGAGAAATTTTAATCCTCAAATTCATTACCTGTGAAATTTTGGGGAAATTATCTAATTTTTCTGAGTGTTGGTTTCCTGGTATCTTAACTGGGAATAGTATTGACTTCAAGAGTCCCCAGGAGCTGCTCCTGTGACACCCCAAGTGAAGCAGGTGGAGCTTCCGCAGCTCCGGGCTGGTCTCGGGGTGGTGCCTGGGACAGCAGAGTCTCAGGTCAATGGGAGAAACGTGGCTGGCCTGGGTGGTTCCAGGCTGGTCTCTGGGTGGTGCCTGGGGTAGCGGGGTCTCAGGTTTACAGGGGAAATGCTGCTGGCCTGGGCAGTTCTGGGTTGGTTTGGGGAATTATGCCTGGGGTAGCAGGGTCTCAGGTCTACAGAAGAAATGCTGCCGGCCTGGGCAGCGGGGAAAAGGACACATCACAGGCACTGGGATTTGTGTCCTGTGTCCCTCTCCCTGCAGACCAAGTGGTGGCCTCTCCCGAGAGCTTGCTCAGAGCTTGAGCCAGGGTCTGGCTGGGCCCAGTTTCCCTCCAAGGATGGTGCAACCTACCCTGCTGTACAGCCTCGCCCACCGCACAGAGAACAGGTGCTTGCAGAGCCGGGATGGGCCCCCACAGCTCCTCCGCCCGGTGGTGGCGTTGATCATCTCCAGGTCTGTGCTGCCTGTCACCCAGTTCACACTGAAGGGGGGCGACTTCCCTGGCTGGCGCGCCTCGGCATCACTCACGCCTGTCAGGGGAGATGGGGAAAGGCAGGGGTTAATATTCCTGGCCCCACACGGGGCTCCCTGAGGGCACCTGAGAGGGAGAAGGTATTCCCATGTGCATCGTCCTCCCTTTTCATCCTCAGGGCTGGTCAGTTCCCGTGGTGGTCACATGTCACCCGCAGGGTGGAGGCTGCAAATTGCCAGGACCTGGTGGCCACCTCAGGTCCATGGTGTTGCTGTGCCTGAGTCAACTGTCTAATTGAAAAGATTTTAATAGTCTGGTGATCCTCCTATGAGACTCTGAGCAGAGACAGGGCCAAACAGCACGTGCCTCCCTCCCTACCTGTGGATGTCACAAAAGTGAGTAGTCTGGGAGTCCAGGCTCTCGCTCATAACAGTGGCGTTGAGACGCTTGGTCTATAACCCAGGAGCCCGTGACCTGTTGGTGCCTCCGGAACCTCCCACCCCCTGCAGCACCTGCTGAGCCTCCTACTCCGCTTGTTCCCCACGCCCAGCAGGCTGACCATCCTCTCCCGCTGGTTCACACCTCCTCGCAGGTCAGCTCCACCTCTCCAGCCCTGCCTGCCTTCCCAGCCAGTTGTCCTGCAGTGCTGGGAGGGGTGCGGGGCCCCTGAGCTCTCAGGGGCGTGTCACGCATCACCCAAGACGGCCAGCACCTGCAGAGAAGAACCTGGCGTCCTGACCGGGGCATTGTATCCAGGCCACCGAATGCTGCTTAGGTCCCTGGGATGCCTCCGGCTATTGGTGGAGATGCTGGGATGTCAGGATTGGTCTGAGAGCAAAGGCCTGGTGGCTGGGCATGGTGGGAGGGGGCTCTGGCTGTAGCAGACTCTAGGAGGGAGCTGTCCCCATGTCACATGGCAGCACAGCTCATGATGGCTTCCTGGAAGCAGAAGTCGTTGAAATTCAAGGGAGACCCACTCACCACGGAGCTGCACAGCCACAGACCCCAGATTTTCTGCTGTCCCCAGCTTCACCTACCAGCCTGGCTCTGTGGACACACCAAGCACATGGCCCATCTGCTGCACTGGTGACCTTCTGCTGGCCATGACGGGCAATGTGGGATGCCCAAGCGAATCCCATTCATGTCAGCTCTTCCTTTTTCCTTCAAGTGATTCTTGGCAGCAGCTGCCACCCAGAGAGCAGGAGGGACAATCTGGCCAGCTGGCTGCTGCAGCCGTCCTGCAGGGTGGGGGCCGCCTGGGCAGGGGTGACCAGGCACAGGGAGAGGCAGTCGCTCCCCTGATCTGCGCATACCGGGTGAGGTGGCCGCCTCTCCTCCTCCTCCTCCCAGGTCCATGACAGGACTGACCACGGAGGCCCTGAGCTGCAAACTCTGAACTCAGAGGAAAGCCTTGGGGGCCTGAGGTCTACCCAGAACCTCCTGGTCTCTTGTCAGGATGTCCTGGCTCTGGCCCAGGCCCCTCTCACTTCTCTTTGCGGAGGACAGTGTGGCCAGGTTGCTGCTGGCCCTTGCTAACTGCAGTCTGTTGGGGCTTCCTCCCGGCGGTCATGGCTGCCAGCTACGATGAGGCCCAAACACCACCAGGAAGGCGGCTGTGAGGACTCAGGTATGAACCCAGCATGTGCTGCTCCACACGCAGGAGACGGGAGGAAGAAGTGTGGCTGGGCTGCAGGGGAGGTGATGGCGGGTGGGCTGCGGGGTCCCACCGTGCAGAGGGCTTCTGCTCGCCAGGGTGTGGTCCTGTTTGTCCGTGTGTGCATAGGGAAGACAGCATATGCTGTAAGCAACATCTCAGCTCACGTGTGACAACCCGAATCACACTGCAAATCATTCAATTCTAAGTACAACAGCCCCATAAATTACTATTTAAGGTAGAAAGTGGTGTAAACCCAGGAGCAATCTTCAGTATCCGAGCCTGTCCCTGACCCAGGAGGTGGAGAATATACCCCTGGGGCCTCTCCCCTTGACTGGGAACCAGGTGGCTGGAGTTCCAAGTGGCTTGAGGTCATCATCCACTTACCCGCTCAAGACAGGTGACTTCTCTGCTTCAGGAGGTAATGTGAAGATTAGAGCAGACAGATGAGAGCGTGCTGGGAGCACCCAGGCTCTGAGTACTGCTGTTTTCATCTGAAGGAGATTGGAAGGTCAGCTGCGGTTCGTTAGGGCTCTCCAAGTCACACAGATCAAAAGTGTTTCTAGTTAGATCACAGCGGGTGTTTCCAACTTAGTTACAATCACCTAATTGTGCCCAGGGAACGGAGGAAGCAACCAACAAGCAGAGGTCAGAATTCCTTTCACGGCAACACGTTCTGTTCCCTTTGTTTGCCCTCCGCAGGGAACGGAGCTTCTAGGAAGGGTCTCAACCCTCTGTTCGCTTGCAAGAGGAAAAACTTCCCAAGGCAACCTGGAAGAATAGCAGTCCTTTTTCTTTTTCTTCTGCCTTGTCTTTTTAAAAAATAAACCTTTCATATAGAGATAGCGTTGGGATGTTTCCTGAACATTCGCACTGTCAGTACTGTTTCTGGCATCGCAGTAACTAACTGCAGCTGATCACGTGAGCCCAAGGAGTGGGAACCACGGCCCAGATCCCTCAAGTCTAATGAGCAAAGAGACACAGAATGCTTACGTCTGCCTAAACTATTAGGTTTTGCCATTAATGAATCTTACTGTGGACAAATCCCTCACGGTCAGAGGAAGTGTGGTTAGGAGTGTCCTGTGTGGCCAGAGGGAACCAGGCGTTGACTTCTCCAGCATGGCGGGCAGCCAGGCCTCTTCCCACGATGGGCCCAGTCCTCCTGCGGCGGGTGTCCAGGCTCCAGGAAGGTCCTCTCCGCCTCATGGACATGGAAGGGCCGTGGCCTCCTGTGTCCTTTCACTCTCTTTCCAATTCCCCATGGCCCAAATCACATGCACGTAGGTAACTCCCCGTCCTGGATGTCTTCTGAGGATGCTTGAACATCAGGATATCAGGTCACTCCAGGATCTTTCTTTGTTTTATTTATTTTTGCCTGGGGAGCCACCTGGTTTCTCAGGAACCTTCTGCTTATACATGAATGATCTCACTCACGGTGCACTGATTTTATAATTTTCCACCAATTTCCCAGGTGCTTCACGAAGACATGCAGCGAGTCTTCTGGGAGCTGGTCCAGCTGCTGGCTCACGGCGTTCCTGTTGAGCACCCTCTCCGCCACGGAGAAGTGGGTTAAAGGGTGTTAGGGCTAAACTCTTAACTCAGAGCTGGATTGCACAGCTAATGGTAGTCGTAGGTGGAGCCGGACAAAGTGAAGACGCGAGTGCTCAGGCCTAGAAACGAAAGCGTGGCTGAGTTTAATTTTAACTCCTGTGGCTGGAAATACGAAAATGCGTGAACTCCTGGCTCATTCCTCCTGAAGTGAGCATCGGCTGATTTAAGACGGATCTTGAGTCCCAGAGACAGAGGGTATCTGCAGCTGCAGGTGCCCTCGCCCAGGCCTGTCCCACCCTGTTCCTGAAGATAGCACGCAGCACATGCCTAGTGACCTGGTCTACTCAGGACACATGGCACCACCTCCTTTTCCCAGTTCACAGCACTCGATGCCTCCTGGAGCTGATTCAGGGAATCTCCAGCAGTGAAAGGTACTAACAGACCTGTGGGGATCCTAGGACGAGAAAAGTGTCCTCCCGAGAAATCGCGTGAAGGAACCTCAGTGCTGTGGACAAACGTACACACACCTGCACAGGGGGTCTTGTGCTTCCTGCTCTGCAGGCTGCCCTGTGAGACCACAATTCCTGCGAACCTCTGGCATCCAGAAGCTACAACAAATCCAAGTAAAATGAACCCCATGGAACACTGGGCACCTTCTGCCTCAGTGACTCGCAGTGCAGGAACTGTACTGTATATTCTGACGCGGTTTCCATGCACACAGAAGTCATACTTTTGTAGGCTGTGTTTGTCTGAGGTGATGCTGTAACACATCGTGACGTGTGGTGGCTTAAAGCAGCAGCAGTCTGTTGTCTCATAGCTCTGTAGGCTGAAGTCTGAGGGTGCAGGTGGGGCCGTGACCCCTCCAGAGGCTCCGGGGAGACCCTCCTTGCCTCTCCCAGCCTCTGGTAGCTCCTGGGCTCCCTGGCTTGTGGCCACTTCGCTCCGGTCTCTGGCTGCATCTTCACTGGCTTCTCTGCATGTGCCAGATTTCCCCACCTCCTCTTCTAAGGACACAGGTGGTTGCAGGCAGGACCACTGAGATAATTCAGATCAACTTCCACCTCATGACCCTGAATTTGCTCACATCTCCAAAGACTCTTTTTCCAGATAAGGTAATTTACAGGGTCAGGGATTAGGATTTGGCATCGCTGGGGGCTGTTATCCAGCCCATGAGGAGCGGTAACTCCGAATTTTGGGACTGGTCTAAGAAGGGAGTGAGTGCTCTTCCTGGTGGGGCAGCCTTGCCACTGGGCCCCCCACACCACAGAACAGGGGTTTGCAGGTGACCACAGCCCATGGGTTGTTTCCCGCCGCATCTGTTTCTTTCCCTCTGCGTCTTTGGTGTGTGATGAGACCTGGTGGGGCTCATGGTACAGGAGGGCAGGGGTCCTGGGGCTGCCCGGAGAGCAGTTCCATGCCCTTGGCTGGCCATGCAGAGTGACCTTGGGATGCATGGGTGCCCGGCACCTGTGCCAGCTGAGTGCGGGCAGCCTCGGAGAGGACCTTGGATTTGAAACTTTGTGTAGGAAGTCCAAGTGAAGGGTGAGGAAGAAAGACGTCCCTGAAACATGGTATAGCCTGGTGGTGAGCAGGGTCTGGCCCCACGTTTTCTTTAGTAATTGCCCCTGAGTGGCCTTGGGAATAGTGGCCTCGCTACTTGAGCAGCTTCTCCCTGAGCTGTCTCTAATGGAACCACCCTCACAGGCGCTTGTTGAACCTGGCATGTAACTCAGGGATGTGTTGGCATTTATTAATTTGCAAACATACCACGCAGCATATGGGCCATTCATCTTTGATAAAGTATTTAGGGAGCTGTCTTATTTCAGAGCTTATCTGTATGGGAAGAAGCTGGTCTCCCGGACCCTTTGACACGAATACTCTGCCAGGTTGTCTGGTATACAGAGATCAGCTTGATGAGACGGCGCGACTTTTGCCGAAATGCACACAATCCTGTTAACGGTGGGCTCTGGCGGCAGAGCGAGGCTGGACTCACTTCTGTGACGTTACCAGCAGTGTGGCCTCTGACAAGCTAATTAACCTACTACTGCCACCACAGCTACCACGACTGGTTCAACTACCACTGTGATCACCACGACACCATTGTGGGGTGACTCTACAATTCATCTATGAAAATGAGTTTTACTGTGGCTCACAGAGCTGTGAAAAGATGCCTGACTTATTTACCTTTTAAAAAAGGCATTCTGTGAGACCTTACAGCATTTCTTTACATAGTGAGCCTACTATATTTACAATGTAACTCACTTTCCCAAAATTAAATTTATACAAAACATTTGAGGAATATAACTTTTACAAGAACTGAGGCAAATTACTTTTGCAGAGTGAATGAAACAGCATGCATCTGGCCATGCACAGATCATAAAGCTGACCGAATCAAAGTGACCTCCTGAGGTTTCAAACTGGATAAGAATGTGGTTTTTATTGCTCTTCAGTCCATATGACTCATTTGAGATCATTTTTCTTAAGCCCAGATAACACAGTGAGTGTTGAGTGAGTCCATCGGAGTTAGATTATCTCCGTGTTTGTCTGCAAATGCTATCGCGCCTTCGTTTTTGAAGGATACTTTTTCTTGATATCAGATCATAAGTTGAGATGTTTTTCTATTGGCATTTTAAAGATGTCATTTCATTGTTTTTTTTTTGTCTTCTGAGAATCAATTATCAGTCTGATTTAGCTCTTTTGAAGTGAATTTGTCTTTCATTTCCTGACTGCTTTTAAGATTTTTTTTGTCTCCATTTTTCAGCAATTTAACCACTGAGATGAGAAATTTAAAAAAAAAAAATCTTGGCGTATAATGTGCTTTTCAAATTTGCATTTGGATGCTTTTTGTTTGTCTTGATCTTAATGATCATTAATTTCAGAAATTTCTCCTGAATTAAAGAATGGATGCTCCATAGAAGTTTCTTCAACTTAGTGTGACAATATTTTGAAAATCTGGACACATAAAAAATATGGACATAAATGGCCACAGATACTTTGAAAGCCAAAAATAGGTAGCATTGGACAAAATGTATAAGCTAGTCTGTACACATTTCAGTAAGTATCACACTTCTTTCTGACAAATGGGGTTGCTGTGAAACTCAGGCACCTGAAGGGCTTCTGACGAAGAAGCTGCCCATTCTCACCACCGCGGGGAAGTGTGTGCTTCGGGAAGCCAGCCCGCGCTCGCCTCTATTTCATCACCAGCACCGCAGTGGTACTTCATCACATGAACATAAACTTAACTCATGGTTCCAACAATCAGTTCTCTGGGTTCATCTCTCAGATTTCATGTTCATTGCCAAGACCTTGAGGTGGGCTGTAAAAATAATCAATTTCATCCTCAGTGTGGACTAAGAAGTGAATCATTGACAAGCATATCTGTTAAATATGCTGGTAACACAAACAATGAATTTATCCTACCCAGATTTTTTCCCCTTTGTTGTTGGTTTTTTTTTTCTTGATGAAGAGAAATAAAAATTTATCCTTGATGTTGAAAGCTCGAAGAAGCATATATCCTCAGCTTGGTAGGACAAGGCTGTCAAAATGGCTATTTCATCTCACTTTTTTCTAAAGGGATGATTATTCAGCACATAGCTTTTTATTAATTATTATGCCCATCATTTTTTTCATCTTACTGAATTCACTGAGAAAGACCAAGGACAAACTCCTTTAGGTTATCTGTGCTCAGGAAATAACGCAACTTTTGTTGAAGCATTCAGAGTTCAAGACAGCCTCAAAATGAGCTTCTGGTCCTGAAGTTTTGCCATAGGTTCAGACTGGCCAGTGCAGAATTTTTCAAGTATATCCTTCAAGGATACATCACTATGCATCCGATGACTGTGTGGACTAGGGTATCTTTTTCAGCTTGGCTGCTTCTTTTTAACTCAGAGCTGGTTTGGCCATATCTAAATTGCAAGGCTTCATTCTGCTAATACATGAGCTTCATCTTCTAAGGCAGTACTGCAAGCTGACCTTGAGGGAAGCTTCAAGCAAACTTCATTTGCTTATTTGAGGTGCTTTTTATTATTATCCCTATGCAAGATCTTGCTCTGTCTTTTGGTGCAAGAGATTCTGATGATTTCTTTTCAAAATTTGCATGATTGGTTTTTAAATGTCCATCAAGAACAATGCAGGGGCTGCTTAGGGGTTGCATGCAGGCAAGATACCAAGACTTAGGCTCATTTGCATCTCTAAAATAATAAAACCCGGGTTCTCAATAAGCATGTAAATGGAGGCTGAAATATTTAGTCAGACTGCGCTGGCTGCGGTGTGGCAGGTGCCTCCTGGGCTGGGGAGTGGACAGGTGCCACCCAGGATGGGAAGCAGACAGATGTCTCGCAGGCTTGGCCATTATTTGTGCTGCGAAACGATGTCAGGGGGATTCAAATTTCTCTAATTGTGCTTTCTAAAATTCACTGTGTTCACACTTATGGTTGGAAATTCCTGTTTTTATTTATGTTGATGTGTTCCCAGATGGACACATGGTCGAAAATCTGCACTGGGAGACTGGCTGCCGAGGCAGGGACACACCAGTGCCCAAGGAGGGCAAAACCCGCTCCGTGGACGGTGGCTTGGGAGGATGTGGTCACAGTGCTTAGCAAGCTTGAATATGCACTTCAGTAGGTGCTGGACACGGGACGAGGATGCCCTAAGGAAAACGCCCAGAGAAAGGGCGAGCCCACGGGCCACTTGCCGGACAGGTGAGGATCCTCTCAGGTTTAACTCAGAAATCTCAGAACTGCACGGAGGCCTTTGGGGCACCCAGTGCGGGAACATGTGCGTTGAGTTCCAAACCCGTGATTCCAGGTCTTTTTGGGGCTCACTCCAGAGCCGTCTTTTCTGTTCAACTGCAGTGAGTAAGGAGTAGTCACCGTTTTACGAAAACATAGAGGAAAGAGCAAAAGGAAACAGGAAATCAAGAAAGAGGTTGAATCTGGGTCCAAAGTGATATTTTACCAGAACCACTGCAATGATTGACCATTTAAACGATGCATGGAATTGTGTGGGCTGTGATTGGAAGCACACCTTTAGGCCCTCGCCAGGGGGAGATGACGGCCAGTGGGTGTCTCGGTGACGGCGTGGGAGCAGTGGCTGCTCCTCACTTAGCTGCTGCTGCCTCTGTCGAGTCCTGCCTTGCATTGTTAGCTTCTGTGTGATTAGAAACACGGACACCTGCCCTAAGAAACCATACTGCACGCCTGGGCGTGGTGGCTCACACCTGTACTCCCCGCACTTGGGGAGGCCGAGGCAGGTGGATTATGAGGTCAAGAGATGAGACCATCCTAGCAAACATGGTGAAACCCTGTCTCTACTAAAAATACAAAAATTAGCTGGGCGTGGTGGTGCATGCCTGTGGTCCCAGCTACTCGGAAGGCTGAGGCAGGAGAATTGCTTGAACCTGGCAGGAGGAGGTTGCGGTGAGCTGAGACTGAGCCCCTGCACTCCAGCCTGGGCGACAGAGAGACACCCTGTCTCAATAAATAAACGAATAAACAATAGAGATAATAACTTTGTCACTGGCTTGTGTGAGAACCGAGCAGCGTAGTCAGGTACTTTGCACAAATTATTTCTTCCAGCTCTCACTCCTGCCCCCATCCCGAGGCCCTGTTTTGTCCCTGATCTCACAATTCAGAGCAGTTTTAGGATCCCGGGAAGAAATCCTAGGACCAACGACTCTCAGCTGCAACAGCAAACAGCTCTTTTATCTTCCTGCTTTCTCTTCCAGGTGATGTGGTTTAAGCCCTAACCCTGCAAAGCCCGTGGCGTCACGGGCAAGGCTTTTCTCTGTTTCCCGACATCTCTGCCTGATTCTGCACAGAAAGGCCCTCCCGAGAGTGCTCCCACTCAGCGGGGGCTGACTCCAAGGCCGGGTGTTCTGCATGCCCCAGCACGAGGCTGCCAGCGAAGAGGAAACCCTATCCCTTCTCATTGTTCCCGGGAACCCGCCAAGGTGCCTCACCGTGAAAGGCTGGGAGTCGCCACAGGTCAGTGTATCCCTCACGAAACCCTCCCGAGACCACTTCCTGCTTTCTAGGGCACCTCACAACCGCCAAGGGACTCTTCATCCTTGCAACTGGCTTCATGCCAGGCAGCCCGGGCAGGCCCCAGGTAACATGGGGCAGTGGAGGCTCAGGCAGGCTTGGGTCTCTGAGGACATCTGAGCTGTGGGGAGCCTTGGTGCTGAGCTGGCCCAGCACTTGCAGAGTCAGCTTGCAGCCTGTGGAGAGTGCAGAGGGCCCTGGGTCCCAAAGATCCGCTCCAGCCACGTGGCCCTGGTGTCCCCCTCTCCCTGCCCCTCGTCGCCCACCTGGCTCTTCCTCAGCGTTGCCTCCAGTGGGTGGCCAGGAGAGCAGGTGGGGCCTCTCGGATGAGCCTAGCACTAGCGATTCTGTTTTGGGGGCTACTTCAGACATTGCTGTGAAAACAGCATCATGACACATTCTGAAAACAGCATCACAACACAATTGTGAATTCATACCAAGACCTGGGTTATTCCTATATTCAGGTATGTGCTGAAACCTTTTGCCGTTTTTCCTTTTTAAAATTGTTGGGATTTGCCCATTAAATCTTAAATTGCCACCAGCCAACATGGATGCAATCTCCTGGGGATGGCACTGCCGGGCACACCTGCGTCTGGCCTGGTGGTGAGAAGGAGCCCGAGGGCCCCCGGGACGGGGGTTCTTACCACTGAGGAGAGGCCGGTTGTGCCGGTAGGAGGTGGGCAGCTGGCCGACGTCCTCCATGCGGTGGCTCATGACGCGTGCCAGGTGGCCCGTGTGGTGCAGGCTGCCCACCACGATGCTCTGCAGGTATACAGGCTCCACGAAGTGGGACAGGAGCGCACCCTGCAGCCCCAGGACGTTCCACCTGTGGGCAGAGCCAGTGGTTAGTGGGGTCCACCCTGGAGCCCAGGACAGTTCCAGCTGTGGGGAGAGCCAGAGGTCAGCAGGGCCCACCCGGAGCCCAGGGAGCTGGGTCCTTTCTGCCCCTCTGCGGCCTGGTCTTGAGGACCTGTCACGCTTCCCATCGTGTGGACCTGGGGGGCCCAGACTCAACCCACTGTCGCCTGGGATGGGGATCTGAGGGCCCCTGTGTGCTAACAAACACCACTCCCTTTTCTGAAAATGAGTCATTAGGCAGAGTGGAAGCTATTATGTTCTCTCTGGGAGGTAGAATTAGATGTTTTAAGAAAGATGCTCTGTCCCGAAAGTGAATCTGAAGTTTTCTTTATATTAGCTGGGAAATATTAGAAATTGAATTTATTTTAGTTTAGGGAAAAATACTTTCTACTCCCTTTGTCCTTAGCAGTCAAAATGACCTATTGTGTTGAAATTAAATGACATGAATAAATGACCTTGCTTTGGTCTGGGGATGATTTGGTTTTAGAAGCCCGGATTGCAGATGAACGACAAGGCCATTTTGTTTGAAATAAATATAGCTCTGGGTGAATGTTTTTGCTTCTTCAAGCAAAAATACTAAGAGCACTGGGATTTTTCCCCGTTAAAGTTGGGTGGCAAGAGGTTCCATGCGTGTGTTATTCAAGGCGACGTTCTGTGGTTTCCACTCTAATGTGCTTAAAATCCCACCTCCACCAGTAGCAAGCGTTCTGCAGCTAATTTCTTACATCATTATTCTTTTCATTAATTAACATTTCTCCACTGTTAGAGCAATTACTGCAGTCCCTGCATGCAGCGCCTTTTTTCATGATTAATAAGGAGTCATTATATTTCCCTTCCTGAAGCAGTCAATTAACACAGAATTCTTTCCATTAATTACCGAATCTACCTGGAGAGTAATCTTCTCGGAGAACCTGTGACACCAATTGCTTTAAAAAGTTCTCTTTAAATTTTATTCCAAAAACACAGGCAATTTAGCCAGTGATATTAATTTGCCTCAGAAGCATCTCTGTGAATGAGAAACATCTTTTAATCTCATGCAAGAAAAGGCAGCCATCTGGCTGGTGGGGATTTCGGGGAGCAGCTCTCCCTCTCTCCCTCTGCAAATGCAGGTCATTAAAGTAATGTGCTCATCTACATAAAACTCAAATGGAATATAAAAGGTAATATTTATATACAAACAATTTAGTCCTACAATTTAAACAGTCATTGGTTTTATGAAACATTTACTTCAGTCTATCAGATTTGCATAAGTTCACTTAAAAAAATATTGTGGTCATTTCTACAAGTCACAGCGTTTCTCCCAGAAAGCAAGGGAAGGGCTGGCCTCTGGATATGTGAGGTTCTCCCTGAGGGACGAGCTCAGGAGTTCTGAAGGGTAGGATGAGACGGAGGCCACAGAGCACCTGCCACTGAGAAGCCTTCATTCCACAGCGTGTCTGCCTGGATCTCCAACGGTGGCTCTTCAGAGTCAATTTTTTCTTTGATGTTCACTGTTAAGTCAGAGCATGTCAACAAAACCTGGGAAAGGAGACTTTTTGTAACTGAGCTTTTCCTTTGGTGTTTTATGTTTTTGTTTTGTTTTGTTTTTTAAATAGAGACATGGTTTTGCTGTATTGCCCAGGTTGGTCTTGAACTTCTGGGCTTAAGTGATCCTCCTGCCTCAGCCTCCTTAAGTGCTGGGATTACAAGAGTGAGCCACTGCACCCAGTCTTTTTTGGTTTGTTTTTTAGACAGGGTCTCACTCTGTCATCCAGACTGGAGTATGCTGGGCAAGTGGTGCAATCATAGCTCACTGCAGCCTAATTATTTTGTATTTTTCATAGAGGCAGAGTCTTGCTATGTTGCTCAGGCTGGTCTCAAACTCCTGGGCTCAAGCGATCCACCCACCTTGGCCTCCCACAGTGCTGGGATCACAGGCTTGAGTCACCACCGTGTCCAGCCAATGCCAATGTTTTTGAGGAGAGGTTCAGGGATTTGGCTTGTTCCCTTGAATCTGAGACCAGAGGACAGATCAAAAGCTGGGGGAAAATTCAGCAGCATGGCCCTCCTTAGGTTGTGAGATGCTGGAAAACAAGGCCCTGAAAAGGACCCCGTGTGGGGCCCAGGGCTCTGGTTACGTGGTCCTAGTGTGCCTGTTAATTCTCAGACTGTTAGTGCAGTCTTAAAATGTCTTACAAATTAAAGTAGGGAAAGGTATGTTTCCACCATCAGTAACAAAGCACCTTCTTGAAATAAACCATGAGTTAAAAAGTAAAATCAGGATTCCTGGAAGAGATGCCGTGCTGTTAGAGGTTATTGGAGCACCGGTGTTGAACAAGACTTCTGGAATGTACATGAGTGTCTGTGATGCTGCAGGACACTGGGAAAACTAATAACTTCAATATCAGGTTCCTATCTGATAACGTTTACAATAAAGAGGAAATCAACCTTCTCCTTGCCTGGCTATCAGAGTTAAACTTATTCAGCTAACATGATCAATAAAACCAAATGTCTTTCTGAATATGAGCTGGAGAATTTTTAGCATTCAGGATTGAATGGAAAAATACCTCTTCTTTTGTTCAAACAGCTGATATTACCGCACTGTTGACAGAGAAAAAAAATCCCATGTCTAGTTTTCAATACAGATAATCCCTAAATAAATGCATTTTTGTCTGTGTGTCAATCACTGAAATACCAGAGATAAGTGCGGGAAGATCTTGGAAAAAGGCTGCTGATCTTTAGCCAGGAGCGGCAACCTGCTCACTCAGCCCAGGCCGCAGTCTACTAGAAGGAAAGATGGGTCTGCGGTGGGTTGACAATGCCTCAGGCTGTCCCTGTAGGTGCGCCATTGTCAGGCAGGGAACAGGGACCGCCCTCGCCTGTTTGGATGCTTTGGTTTTCCGCCGTGACGTGGCCCTCTGAGGAGATGTAACTCTAAAGTTACATGAAGCCTGCAGCAAAGTACTCAGCCACCACCTGGCGTGGCTCTTAAGCCTGCTGCTGGATCGTCTGGGAGCTGTGAGGACCTCCTGAGGCCTGGTTTCCCCAAGGGTTCTGGTGTGACTGGGGGGTCAGTGTGGCCATCAACTTTCTTGGTGCCACCCATGTGACTCTCAAGTGAGCCAGGGTTGAGGACTTCCGCAGCAAAGTGGCAGATTCTGGAGCCAACACCGTCAAGTAACCATGTAGGTCAAGATGCTGGGCAGAGGGGCCTCATTTGACCCGTCTCTTGCTGTTCTTATCAACTCTCTTCTCAGTGGTCCCCAAAGTGGGGTGCCTGGGCTAGCCACCCAGCATCACCTGAGAACTTGATAGAAATGTAAATTCCCAGCTGGGCGTGGTGGCTCATGCCTGTAATCCAAGCACTTTGGAGACCAAGGTGGGCTGATCACCTGAGGTCGGGAGTTCAAGACCAGCCTGACCAACATGGTGAAACCCCATCTTAAAAAAAAATAAAATAAAAAAGAAATGTAAATTCCCAGGCTACACCCTGGAACTGCTGGCTCATGAACTCTGGGATGGGGCCCGGTGGCACAGATTCTAAGCAGCAGCCTCCAGGTGGCCCTGAGGCTGCTCAGTTCAAGAACCACTGTCTCCATGTTGGTTTTGTGGTCACAATAGCCGTACCTACCTCTAATGGCATTGCAAGAGCACAGGAGATGATTTAATCTCTGGCTGGTTGGGGGGTGACATTTCCCTTCTGTCACACCCCACTCTCAAACCCCCACCTCGCACCTTCTTCCTTCCACATTTTGGCAACACAGGTAATAAGTCCAAGATGTCTCTGCATAAATGCCTCATCCCATTTCCAGGCAACTCAGATCTATTCTGGGGCCTAAGCGAAAGAGAAGCCAACAGCCTTTTGACTCAATAACACGCCTGCTAGGAATTCACCCAGCATCTGCATTCTCAATGGACACCTGATGTACAGATGGGGCCAGTCCTGCAGAGGTTGTTTGTAATTGCAAAGCAGACAAAGCACAGCAAAGCAGAAACTGGAAATCACCTATGTCCGTCTTAGCAGGGAATGGGTTAAATAAAGGGTGGTGCGTTCGTGATGCTCTGGCCTGCCTTGACCATGTGTCCCACACCTCCAGTGCCTCTGAGGTGAGCCTTGCTTGCTGGGACGCCCTTGGGGTCAGGAGGCCACAGCTGCCTGACCTATGCCTTCTGCTGCGTGGAGACTCCGCCCCTCATGGCTCCTGCCAGCTTCGCCCATCACATCATGTGGGACGCTTTTGTGATTGCTCTATAAACACCAGACTCCCAGGCTGTCCCCTCTTGAGGTCCCTGCCTTGTGTCCAGTGGCATCGTGGCTGCCTCCTGCTGGGCTGCCCCTGCCCCAGACCTTGGGTGCCTGTGGTTTAAATCTCCTGGCATTGCTGAGCACGGGTCTGGTGTGCAGAGGGAGGTGCCTGATGCGTAGGAGGAAGCTGATGGATGGTGTGTCCCTTCAGCAGCTGTGTTTTGTTCAGAGATGGAAACAATGCCGGGCAACATCCCACAGGCTCTTCCTCCATGTGACTGTGACACCCCCAGGGGGGCCTGCACCTGCCTTGAACCTCTGTGGCTTGGGACGTCTCAGCCCGAGGGTTGGAGTGATGCCGCGTAGAATGGGTCCCCTGACCTCCTGGTGCTCGCTTAGGCCCCATCTGCCATTCTGCAGAGACTCCTGAGTCTGTGAAGCAGCGCCAGGGCCTCCACCCACCCCAGCTGACCTGCCAGTAAAGGTGACCTGCCGCCCGGGGGCTGCCTTGTCGGCACCATGTAGGGAGGAAGTGAGCAACTCCTGAACTTGTAGGGAGGGCCTGGGAGTACACGGGCTTGCTGTTTCAGGGCCACCAAGTTTTTGGGGTGGTTCTGGGGTGGTTCGCTTCACAGCAGGAGACAACCGACCAGAGCTGTGGCACAGCCTGAGTCGTCTCTGCCTGGGAGCTCACATAGGTCAGGGCACAGGGAAAGGAGCGCAGTGTACACCCCAGGCTCTGC